TTTTTTTTTCCGGATATTAATATGCGTAGCATTTGATTGAATTTTGTCTAATGGTACTCGGATTTGCATGTTCATTTAACCAGTATGAAAAATAACCAATTGACCAACAATGAATAAATTGCAATGGGATTTATTATTCACATTGCAATAACTTACACTTTGAACTGCTACTTTTACAAATATAATAATATTAATAATAACAACAAAAACAACATAAATAATAAAAGAAACATCCCACTTATTATCAACCAAAACAAACAAAATAAAGAGGACATGAGAGCTATTGTGCGTGTCTTTCATACTTAATGTGCGAGAGAGATTACATACTAGTTTCAATATAACTACAGTATTGTAATGAGATACTCCACTCTTATAGGCGAATAGCTTGGATCCGTACGGTTATTAACTAGTGGATTGCTTATACGAAGCCTAATAACACGCACCCATTGAAGAATCTGTTTCCTATTATAATAAATGGTATTATTATTCAAATATATTTTTATTTTTTTCCGTTTTCAATTTATATTATTTCGCAATTTGAAATATTTTTCTTCCATTTTTAAATACCTTTCCATTATCCATTATTATATGGCGTATGCACGTTATTGTGCGTGTCTCTAATACTTAATGTGCGAGAGATTATATACTCGTTGACTTGGTCAAAATAAAAATAAAGATTAAAAAAAACAAAAAAACAATTAGTACGTTTTTTCAACGATTGAATGACTAGACAACTTTAAAAGATTCCCATTATGGGAACACCTCTGACAGGACTTATTACCCTAATATGCGTTACATATACACTTAACATGCGTGTGGTTTATATATAACTTAACATATATTTTTGAGAAAAAAAAAATAAAATGTGTCTATTAATATTACACTTTGATTTGGAGTGATCTTAAAATCATATTTGTCAATTTATTCGTTAATATGCGCACTTCTATACTTTATTATTCGTGTATTTCAAACAAAGTATGCGTTAGACTGTATACTAACTGACTTAGATCGAATAAAAATAAAAAATGCGTTGACAAACCATAAAACTTGCGCAACATTAAACATTATCTGCGTTAAAAAAGGAAGACAATATGCATATATTAAACTCTTTATACGCGTTGAATTGTATAACGCGCGTATATATCTGTATATATTTAATTGCCGGAACATTAATGACTAATATGTGTAACAAATAAACAATATGCTAGTTGGCTTGTGTATTAAAATTTTACTTTATTAATAAATTTATCCAACGAAAATACATGCGTTACATAACATCTAACATGCGCAAACTGCCAAGATACAATATTCTCCCCGTTCTTAATCAAAAACACAAAAAAAAAAAAAAAACATTAAAAAAAACACCACGTTCATGTCCTCTGCGAGCTTGTAAGTTTCTTGGATCTGCTCTGAATAGGCAGGCAGACCACGTCTTTCAGACTGGAATCGGTGGCAGAGAACATCCCAAACTGCGTGTTTGATTTTTGTTTGTTTATTTAATGACTATCAAGTAAATAAACAGAAAAAATATATAACATCCAAACAAAGATTTATTATTTACATTGAACTAATTTATACATTGATCTCCCACTACCACTCACGTAATAAAAATAATAATAAACAACATCCCCCTAATGATCTAAATCAACACCAACCAACACAACAATTCACATCAAATGCCCGAAGATAACTTATTTAATTGATAGAGAATCCCAGACAAACGGCAGGATCCGTCTACACCTTTTGGAGATATTTCTTTTGGTTAAGCCTGCATTAAGGTACCAAAGGATATATCTCCACGAGGAATAGAGGATCTTGCCGTATGACTGGGCTAAAATGACACATTCTAAACCTGAGAAGATTGACTTCAACGAATGTAAACCCCAACTAATCCAGAAGTGTTAAATTGCTCCATCTGTTATGTGCAACTTAGTGGAGAACCACAAGATTGGGATTTGTTATGGTTTAAACCCATAAAAGAATCTTCTCAGGTTTAGACTGTGCCGTCTTAGTCGATAACCACACGGTCCCCCATGGCCACCACCGCCGAGCTCTACTCAAAGGATGTCGAAGCGTAGCAATAACTGCTCAGCAACGTGGAGGAGTGGCTGAGTATGCTACCTTCCCGCTCCGGGTCCAGTGTGGGGAAAGATGGGGGGCATCTGGGGACGGCTGAATTATTGTGGTGCTGTATTTCATTAATGGGATATTTATTCTCAGGTCTAGAATGTGTTGTTTTTGTAACTAATTACAATCACAACCAGAAGAAGGGGAGCGAGTATGAAGAACATGATGGTAAATATTATGAACAACATGAAGAACGCGACGAGAAAGAAATGATGCTTGTTGTTGAGATGGAGTGGGTAACTCAATTGATGCCATTTCAACATATAAAAATGTAAAGAAGACACTTGATACTCGGTCGTTGGGTGTTCATTCCTTTCTATAGGCGAAAAACTTGTTCACATTCCCTGACTTGGCACATTATATATTATTATTATTATTATTATTATTATTATTATTATTATTATTATTATTATTATTATTATTATTATTATTATTATTATTATTATTTTCACATTTCACAAACATTAAAATGAAATGGAGCTCACACATTTAATGTGCTTCACATATATTTATAAAACGCGGCAAACATTAGCACTGCGTGCGTGAAAAAAATAATGTCCGTTTTTTTAGTCCTTTAAAGCATTGATCCACTACAAAAATACTGTACGTTTCGCCAACTACACATGCATAGTTAATAATAGTCATAAATGACAACTCAATGTTGGAAGACTCCCTTTATAGGGAAAAGGTAAATTACTGACAACGAATAGTCTTTTCACCTACCTTACCCATACGACTAGTAATTGAATAGTGACAGTGTCCACCAATTTTTAATGTGCTTTAATTTCCACTTTAATATGCGCGAAAAAACAATACAATGTGCGTGTTGATAATAATTTATAATGTGATATGATATCAAAAAAGTTACAATTACCAACATTTCTTTTATGGGAAATAGATAAATTACTGACAACGATTAGTCTTGTCGCCTGACCACGCAACCCCACCGTATGGGTGTGTGGTGAGGGAGGATTTATAGGGGTGAGGTGGTGAATTTGCCTATGCATGACAATTATATATGTGCGTTGGATACACGCTTAATGTGCGTGACAAAATACTTTAAAATGCTTTTATTGTTTACTTAATATCGGCTCATGAATACAATACCATGCGTATAGTAAACTTATTCGTTGACGCACGCTGTATTATTTTGAAACGCACATAAACAACTGAGTAAGCGCATATTAAAATATAATGATCTATAACAACGAAATTAAATGTCCCCAACCCACACCCCGTACCATGTTATTATTGCCCTATAAAAGGGTGATAAGATGCAACAATCCAACATCAAAATTCATTACTTATGTATTGTCTAAATTGTTTAATACTCCTATTGGTTTCTTTGCATATGTACACAATGCCGTATGGTGACTCTTTCTCACCCACACTGGATCCTTCATCTCCTTCTTATTCTTCGAAATCTTTATCCTGCTCATATTAACCACGCTAAAGCGACACATTCTAAACCTGAAACAACCGACCTGGACAAAGAAGCCCAGGTGACAGTTTTCCCTACCCGACAACGCTGGATTGTTCAAGTTGTGAAAGGGAATATCCACATCCCATTTTCGGAATTCAGCTTCCCAGGTATGAAGCATGCATCGAGGGGCTATGATTACCGGATGAAGATACACTGTTCCTTTATTCCCCATAGGAAGAATGTCCCACACTGTCGTTCCACCATGTATTGAATTACAATGATTTCCAAAATCACCATCCAATCATTATACAACTTTATATGCGCCTTGATACTTTGACAAATTGAAAACAAAACTATATGCCTGAATTTTATTGTTTATATGCGTTACATTTTTCTATCAATGCCTTTTAACAAAATCATTAAAAAATTCGGTTACTTCAATTTATATTCATCCAATTATCTCAATCGTAAAATGTGCCCTTACGTATAACTTAATGAGCGTATCCACATGGATTAACATGCGTCACACTTCGCGTGTCAAAATAGCTTAATGTGCGTGTACACATGCATTACATGCGCAAGTCCACACACCATTGAACGTGCGCGATTACTTCAACTAGTGTGCGTGAATTTAATCTTTAATATGCGCACACTGATACTTTATTAAGCTTATATTCTGTTCTTGCTGTGCGAACAAACAGCCAGAAAAATTTTTAAGTCTTTTGAGGAGATTCAATCCTGGGCGGAGTCAATGTGTTCAAAGACTTCTACCATTTCGTCAGTGGGCTCATCCGTTTATTCCTTGTATACCAAAATATATGTTGCCTGCCAACTGTTCACAAATCTAAAAACAACTAATAACAACTAATACATAACCTTCATTAACAACTAATAACAAATTAATAATAAAAAAAAAAGATCATTACAATGTGAAATTTGTTAATTAAACGACAACATACTGATTTGAATCAATAATATAATATAATTTGTTTAATTGTATATAGCTTAATATAACGTGCGCGATTAATTCAACGAATGTGCATGAAATTTATCTTTAATATGCGTATATGAATACTTTAATATGCTTATATGCGAACAAAAGGCCAAAAACATTTTAAGTCTTTTAGGGGATGGATGGGGGGATTCGATCCTGGGTGGAGTCGGAGTGTTCAAAGACGTCGATTAGAATTCCGATCAATTCAAATCAACTTCGTACAATGTCAACTGAAATTAACTAAAATACCACCCCGGGTATTAACTAAAAAAAAAAAAAGGAAACAAAATACGCAAACATTTCTTCTTCCCCACGACCGGTTAGAAACTCATTATCAGAGCTTCTTACCTTTAACAACGCGATTTTCCAGTTTGTTTCACAGTCCCACTGCACAACCTTTAAAAGCTTTTACTACTTCGACGGTGCTTAACTACAAACACCTTGCGTGAAGCAAATATGGCGTCTGAAGAGCATCCAACCCACACGGCCGAATCCAGCAAACAGCGACCTTCTAGAAAAGGTAAATTTCATACATTCATATCACATGCGCATCTTACATATTAATTTCACGCACGTTAGCTCTTGTATGTATAATTTTAAGATTTCAGTTTCTCACGCATTGTGATTTTAGTTGACAATCCCTAATAAATTCGAATTTAGGAATATTATTTCGTTGAATGTATACTTCGCGTGGATTCATCTTAGTGTTTTTTTTTTTTTTTGCCGCACATTGTTTACTATTTATACGCATATTCTATTTCTATGTTTTGTGATTAGCCCCAAAAATTATGAAATTGTTGTACGCATTTTGTTTTCATCTTTACCGCACACTAACCTGTAGACTGACGCACATAAATTATAAACTCGCACACCTTCGAACAATGAACACACATTCTGCATTTAGTCTCTTTTGCAGTTTAAAATAGCAAAAGTTTGTATTTGTTTGCAAATATAGGTTCCAAACGCAAGAGGGAAGCTAATATGCAGATTGTTGTGGCTCCCATGGATGATGGACCTATACGATCTTCAAAAAAGAAACGATCACGAAAGCCTAAACCTGATGACATTCTTAGCAAATTTGAAGAAGCTCATAACAGGGGGTCATCACCAATGTTGGTTGATGCCATTGCAAAATTTAGTCCAGAACAACAAGCTGCAGTTCGGGAGATGGGATTTGGAAGCATTTTAAATCTGAAAATCAAACAGTTCCCGAACTACCTATGCTACTGGATCCTAACACACTATGATGGCATGGCAGGCAAGCTGACTCTACATACAAATGAAACTTTGGACGTAACCGAAGATGATGTGGAAGCTGTTTTAGGCTTGCCTAGGGGACCCCTTGAGATTAAATACAAGGGAAAGAGGATCTCCTCTACTAATGCATTGTTCAACGAGTGGAAGAATAATATTGTTGCAGAAAAACTGTCGTCCGTTAAGTATTCGGAAACTGTAAGAGCAATGCTTGCCTGCACTGATGGAGGGAAATGGTTCAAATTCCATTTTATTCTTCTATTCAACTCCATGTACATCGAAAGTACAAAAAATGGTTATATTGTGCCACATATTCTGGAAGTTGTGGACAATGTAGACAAAATTCCCAATTTCAATTGGTGCAGATTCATCCTCCGAACCTTGAGTACTGCAGCTGTCAATTGGAAGGAAAACGAAAATGGATATTTCCCCGGTTGCATGCTGTTTATGCTTGTAAGTTTTGAAGCATATTAAATTTCTGCAAAAAAATTAAAAAGGCAAAATGTAGAAGATATTTATTTTAACGATCTTTTCATTTGTATTCAGGTGCATTATGTTGATAGGGTGATCCTCCACTTTGACCGACCTGTCCAGAGGTCTATTCCGGCATTTGTGGGGTGGACAACTCGACTTCTAAAGCAGCGGCAGAGAGCAGAAGCTGTGGCTGGTGGATTTGGACGAGGAAGAGTCGAGCCACGCAATCCAGAATATATACCAACCCAACCAGCTTCTCACATTCCTGCTGTTACTGCTCAGAGTATCCCTGAGGTACAGAATGCTAGGATTGATGCTGAGGAGGTATGTTCATTTTTTGTTTTGTTTTTTTTTTTTTTTTTTAAACGCATATAAAGTTATAACCATACTCACATTTAGTATTTTTATCACGCACATTAGGATTTACTGTGGCGCACACTAGTTGATAACCCTTTGCATATTACCACGGTTATATACATATCAGTTGAAAGCACATTAACACAATACAGGACGCACATTAAGGTCTGTTAGATGTAATTAACATTGATACACATCATGTAATAATCATACAAAAGTTCATTTCCCACACAGGAATACTGCAATGCATATGAACAGAGTTTAAAAAACTTCTATGATGAGGTGAACAATCTTATTAAATATACAACAGCAGATCATCCTGCATCATCCACAACAGAGATAGGGTCAGGAATCTGAAAATGCTTGCACACAAAGCACTTGCTGCTGCAATTCTAGGGGTGGAATCAACCCTCTCCCAAGAGGAAAGAAGTGCATTTGACCCTGAAACATGTACTGCAATTGAACTTGCAATACAGAATAAGTTGAAATATATTAGGGAAACTTGTGATATCCCTGCTTCAGACTCTGCAATTAGCCCCCTTCAAACAACACCAATTCCAACACAACCACATAGAAATAATCTGTATGATATTGCACATGTTGCCTCTTTCTACCATGAACAACAAGAAGACGACGTTTCAGAAGAGGAGCATGAGGATTCAGAACAACAGCCAGACTGTGCTGAAAAAGTGGATGAGCACGTTGAGGCTGTTGCCACAGAAGCTGTTGCACATGTCACAGAACAAACTATAGTTCATCAGGTTGTGAGTGAGCAGGTTACATCTCTTGCCAGAGAGGCTAATGTGGGCGTTGAAGAACAAACTGGAGTTGATGAGGTTCAGAGCGAACAGTTTACTGTTGTTGCCAGTGAAGCTATATCAAACGTTGCACAACAAACTAGAACCGATGAAGTTGATAGTGAGCACATTAAGGCTGTTGCCACTGCAGCTTGTGCAGACGTTGCAGAAAACACTGGACTTAGGGAGGTTGAGCAAGCTGAGCTTCCAGAACAAGTTTCACTGCTGGACAGTGTTACACATGCTGATGGTGAGTGTCAGAAAATTATGACTGCTATAAATGAAGAACACCTAACAGTCACACCAGACATTCCAGTATCTGACATAGAGCAAGGTGAGATTGAAATAAATCTTCCAGTGTCACCTATTGGTGTCGGGGCGAATGCAAAGGACGCTGAACTTGTAAGCATACCAATGTCGTGTTCTAGTGTTCAAGAAGCTCATCTTCCTCCCGATGCAGTGACTCCTGGTGTTCAAGCAGACACAGGGCAAGGTGAGATTGAAATAAATCTTACAGTGTCACCTATTGATGCCTGGGCGAATGCGAAGAACGCTGAACTTGTAAGCATACCAACGCCGTGTCCTAGTGTTCAAGAAGCTCATCTTCCTCCCGATGCAGTGACTCCTGGTGTTCAAGCAGACATAGTCCTAGAAGCAGCAGCTTCAAAGAAAGCTGGAAAGGCTATATCAGAGCCTGCTGAAGAACATCAGCAGAGAGTAAGGAGAACACGAAAACGGTCAGAAACAATGAAATTCCCATTTTTTTTTAAGACAGGTGCAACTCTCATCACCAATCACTACTGCTGAAAAAGCACTTAAAGTTTGGATTGAAAAGGCAGATGCATCGATTGAGTAAGTTATACATAAGATACCTATTTTGTTTTGTTTTTTTTTTTTTTTTTTTTTTTTTTTTTGTTTTTTTGCTAATTGATCTTGCTAATATCTTGAATTTTTTATTTAATTATTTATTTGTTTTTTCTAATCTTTATGTTAAATATTTTTATCTGCATATTTGTAGCTTTGATACTGTGTTTAAGGATGGTGAAAAACTCCTATTCTTGATCAATATGAAATCACTGCTAAAGAAAAATCATGTAGAGTCGGCAGTGTTAGACACATGGAGTTTGATCCTAAACTACTTGTAGTATAACTACAGTTCCAAAGACTCAGTTAAGAGATTCTTTTTTACGACAAATCCAGTGGTAAGTTATTCTTTGAACCAGTTATAGTTTCATGCACATTTAATAACATATTGAAGCATCTATAGGATTGAAACTGTAATTGTAAACTTTTTCATTTAGGCATGCACATGATAACATATGTTTTCGCAGGCTTTGATTTCAGAAAAAGATAATATAAAATAACATCACTTATTAATGAAATGTATAATTAATATCTAAACGACATGATTTTGTAGGCAAATTGTATTGTGAATGCACCAACAGAAGAGATCACTGATAAATTCTACTATAAGTTCGAAAAAGAAGTCGATGGGGAGCTTGAAGCTTATGATAATCCTTTGACCCGACGTTTGGTATATTATATTCCAAATTCTTTATTTAAGATTTGTATTTATTGTTTCTCTGTGCTAACACATTTAAAACAAATTCCAACTTGCAGTTTTTTTTTTCCAGTCATCAAATCTGATCACATTTATGTAATATGCATTGATATATTCACTGGGTATACACGGATTGATATACTTGACAATTCCTCCGTTGGTGGTACTAGCACAGAGAAATATGGCAATCTACCTCGTACATTGGTAAGTATTGACTCACACATTTTAAGTCATTATACAAACTTTAACATTTTATTATAATTTTTTTTTAAAAAAATAATTATCTATTTTATTGCAGCAACAATATTTTGCGCGATATTTGAACAGTAGGATGCTGCGCACTTCTTCAAAGACACTTAAAAAAGCTTTAATAACAAGAATGGAGATGAGATGTCGAGATACAACAAACAAGCATGACTGTGGTGTATTTACAATGCGCCACATGGAAACATACATGGGGACTGGATCGAGCGATTGGGAGTGTGGCATCAGGAAGGGAAAGACAAAAGATCTTGATGATCTCAGGATCAAGTACATTGCAGCGATTTTAAATGCTGAAAATAACGAATTGTCCACTGAGAACAACAAAAACGCTGGTCTTGAAAAAATAGCTCACTTAGTATTAGTTTATGTAATTAGCAAACATTAATATATTTTTGTTATATAAAAATCCTTTTGATACGTTAAGCAAATTAGGTTATATTTTAGCGCACATTACAACTTGCGTGACTGCATATCTTAATGTGCGTTCATTTGCATACAAAAAAAAAAAAACATTGAAAATAATAATTATTAAAAACAAAGAAAAAAAAATCAAGTAATTAATGTGCGTTCATATTCATCATTACGTGCGACTTACTAACGGACAACGTGCGACACCTCATATCTTAATGTGCGTTCGTTTGAGTACCAATTGAGATAAATCATTTCTCTCATTACTCTTTTAATATGCGTATCATATCTATTTAATATGCGTCTCGGATATCTTTAATAAGTGTCTCGTATATCTTTAATATGCGTCTCGTATATCCTTAATGTGCGTATCATATCGCTTTGATGTGCGGCCGTTAGAATAAAACTTCGGTATGCATTTGTGTTAGTTTATTTCGCGCAGTCAAATTAAAAATATCACTGTTCTGTCATTTCAAACAAATTTCGCGCACTCCGGGTCTAAGACAACTGGATTAGTACTCCACGAGTACTCCACATAAATCTTCCTACATTCGCCTTCTTCACATTCCAATTTCATTTTTCAAAAGTTTTACAGATTACAGCCGTCATTCTCCATTCCAAACTGTTTTTAACAACATCGCAAGCATGGCGTCGCCGGGGAATGCTTCACAATCTGATAAATCTACTCAAATAGCAGCTACTCCGCAAGGTAAATTCGACCCCTGTTCATCCCAATAATATCGTTTACTGATTAATTTCACGCACGGTATGATATCTATGTTTATCTTAGAATGATACAAAAAAATAAAGTTTAGATGCAAACACAACGTCATGCTACTTCAACCATGCTATGAGCTGAATTGTTGCAATATATATATATATATATATATATATATATATATATATATATATATATATATATATATATATATATATATATATATATATATATATATATATATATATACTCACTGACGCATACTAGTATCTAATTGTACAAACATATTTTTTCAACGGAATGAACTTCAAATTCATACATTAGGTTTTTATTAAACACACACCTTAAGTAATGTTTCTATTCAATTTACTTTACGAACTAACGCATAATAAGTACTACAATAGCGCATAACCTGTACTCACCTGACGCACATTAAAATTCAGACTCACTGAATATGTTATACTAACACGCATATAAAGAACTATCCTAACGCACATTAACTTTCAAAACTCCCATATCTTTATGTTACATAACTTATGTAGTTTTCCCTGTGCAAACTACATTCAACTTACTGCACATTGATCATGCATTTACCCTTCCTTGCACTTATTTATTTTTTTCAAAAAAAAAACAATAGGTAAAAAACGGAAAAGCCAGCAGAAATTAGATATGGTTATTGCTACATCATCTGGGGGGGCTGTACAGGTTGGAAAACAAAGACATCGATCAAAAAAATAAAAACCAAGGAATTTATGACGGTGTGCCTGAAGTTAAAAACAGGGGATCATCAGCTAAGTTGGTTGACGCAATGAAAGATTTTAATGCTGAGCAACGAGCTGCAGTCAATGATATAGGTTTTGGGAGTATCCTTAGCCTACAGATTACTGAATTCCCAATACGGCTGAGCTATTGGATACTCCATAACTACGATCCAATGGACGGAACCTTAACATTGCATTCTGGTTCCAAGCTTGATGTGACAGAAGATGACGTTGAATCTGCCTTGGGCTTCCCAAGGGGACCAATTGAAATTGCATATGAGAAAGACAGGTTGTCTCCAACTCTACCACTGTTCTTGGATTGGAAAGCCAAGATTCAACCAAAAAACCCAACCAAAGTCCTGTATGGTGAGGCTATTAAAGCAATGATGGAGTGCACTGATGGATGAGACTGGTTCAAGATCCACTTCATGGTGATACTAAGCTCTATGTACATTGATGGCCCTAAGAGTGGCTGCGTTGGTCCACGCATCTTAGATGCATTAAATGATATCTCCAAAATCCATGAATTCAATTGGTGCCGCTTCCTGTTGCAGCGATTGAATACTGCAGTACTTGCTTGGCAACCAACCCCGACTGGTTATTTCCCCGGGTCCCTCTTGTTCATGCTTATAAGTCTTACATATGCATTTGTTCTATTCAAAATACAAACCATAGAACCTTCTCTTGCTAACATTTGTCATTTGTATTCAGGTACACTATGTTGATCGTGTTCTGTTACAATTCCATAGACCTGTTAAAAGAGCTATTCCAGCTTTAATAGGATGGACAACTAAACATTTAAAAGACCGAGAGTTGGAAGAGTTTAAGTCTGGCGCTTTTGGAAGAGG